AGCAACCTTCCCTTAGTCCTCTGGGAGAGCTGATGATGCTAACAGCCAACATGGACTGAGCACTGCTGTGCCCCAGCTTTGCAGCCAATGCTTGCTATGCATGGTCACGGAGCATGTACTTACACCCATGTTCCTGCAGTACTCACACTAGGCAGGCAGGCAGTCTCCTCACTCCCATTTCACAAGTGAGAAAGTGGAAGTTGGGGAAGTGACTTCCTATTCTCAAGAACACACAGGAGGGTGGATTCAGCACCCAGGCCAGCCCCCTATTCAAGCCAGTGCTGCTAGCCCCTGCAGGCAGGCATAAGAGGGTAGGGCAGGGTAAGGCAGGGGTGCAGGGTGCAGGGAAGGGCAGGGCTGTGGTGCTAGGGCAGGAGCTGGCAGAATACAGAGATACTGGAAAAGGTGGCTGCCGTTTCTGGGCTTTAAAAGAACCTATAAAATAACTACGCAAATCAAGAATTTATGTCAGCTTGGTGGATGGAAAACTGGCTATATATATTACACAGTTTGGCTCTGAAAATGAAGTAGTGGAGGAGGAGGGAGCACAGAACTGACTTACTACACTGGAGAGTAAAGAGGGAGGAAGCGGGAGGAGGGGATCAGGAACAATTGACAAGGGCTGGAGGAGAAGGGGAGGGGTGGGGGGAAGCCAGTGTCTCCCTTAGTTTAGGTTCTAATTCAACACAGGAACAAAGGGAGACCACAAAGCTCTGTTGATAGCTGCACTCTGGCCTGTCCAACCTGCAACTCAGTTCAGAGGGATGCATGACCACAGAGGTCATCTCCACTGCAGACGTTGTTTCGGAGCCTTATCCCCAGAAGGATAAGGAAATGTTACAGGACCCAATGTGACCCTGAGTCAGGGGCTATCATTGTGGGCTGTCAAGTCATTTTAAATCAACATTGTGGATGAAGCAACCAGGATGACCAAACAGGAAAAAAGAGATAAGGCTTTTATGGCATTGGCCTGTGAAATGGTCAAGGCCAAACCTGTGGTTGGAATATTTTCAAGGCAACATGTACTCAATAAATGACATGTGGGATGACTTCATTTTTGCTCTTTTCTTTGCCACCAAGTTACTTTTAGCTCCATAGCTGAAAGGACGTAACATGGAGTTAGTATAGCCAAAGAGCAGCCATTTTAACACTGCCTAGTTCACTTTAGCCCCTAATCACTAGCCAAGGACAGAACTGGTTTCTCAGAGGTCGCTATTGATTATTGTTTTACAACCCCCTTGCCCAGCTTGTTTTGTACTAATTAACTTTTCTATTTCAAGTATTTGCCTCCACCCATAAGACCCAAGTTACCCTAATCAGCCCTTCATGACCTATGTGACTCAGACCTCATCACCTGATGTCAGTACCTTCATGATGATGTATGTGGAGCAGACCACCACCCAATCACCATGATGTCCTTCCCCCATCAAAGGGAAAGTTTAAAAGGATTAGTCTCCAGTTGCCATTGCCTTGCTAAGCTATGGTCTGTTCATGTTTTCCTAAGCTTTGGCCCCCTCCCCTACCTTGGGAAGGTGAATCTCCTCTCTCTCGATCATTTACTTTCTAAATAAACTATATTTTCTAATCTAACTTTGGTGTAATTCTTTGCATCTTTCACATGAGACCGGATCGCACAAACATCCTCGTTGGGTCTAACCTAACATTTTAGAGGCCTGACTGGGATTTTTTTTTTTTTTTTTTGAGTTGGAGTCTCACTGTCACCCAGACTGGAGTACAGTGGCACACTCCCAGCCACTGCAGCCTTGACCTGCTGGGTTCCAGTGATCCTTCCGCCTCAGCCTTCCAAGTAGCCGGAACTATAGGTGTGCATTACCACGCCCAGCTAATTTTTGATTTATTATAGAGACAAGGTCTCGCCAAGTTGCCCGGGTGGTCTCAAACCCAGGGGCTCAGGCAATCCACTCGCCTCGGCCTCCCAAAGTGCTGGGATTACAGGCTGAGCCACCAAGCCTGGCCCTGACTGGGATTTTTAACCTAACAGTAGCTGTAAACATGGAGCTGCCAAGGTGGGCTCTGGCTGCAGGAGCCAGCAGGGTGGGTGGTGGAAACTCAGTGAGGCTTAAAGAGACTCCTCTCAGAGGGAAGAAAGGACTAGAAACTGCTCCAAGGTGCAGAAGTTACCCTAGGGGTTTAGATGGAGTTCACAAGATTCAGATTCAGGGAGACCCAGACTATTTCCTCTTCCTCTTTCTCAAGATCTAAGTCCCAATTGCATCACCCTGGCCAACCCCAGTTCCTTAGAATGGAGGTCAGCAGTTCCAAGCCCTTGATATGCAAATCCTACAGTCTCACTGACTGCTGATAAGCTATTCTTTGAGTAGTGTCCTGCCCAGCTGGTGCTTCCTGCCAGTCCCAATTGCACTCTTTTTATTGTTCTCGAAAACCCAGAAAGGAGGGAAAAGCAGAACTGACTCTAACAGAAGAACCTCATTGAATTGGGCTATAAGTAGGGGCACTGGAGTTAAACTGCACAAGCCCTAATGCCTCTGTTGTGCAACTCTGAAGTGATTTGTACATTGCCCCATTTGTACAGTGAAGATGAGAGTACTCACCTCATGGGGTATTGAATAAATAAACACATTTAAAGTATTTAGAACAGGACCTCGCATGTAACAAACATGAAATAAATGTGAGCCATTAAGTGAAAATATCTTTTGCAGTCAAAAGCAGATCCACATCTGAAAGCCATGCTTGATGTTACTCTACTTTCAAATACTCAAGACCACAATTTAGTCGGGTCACTGTGGGAGAGCTTGGGAGAGTAGGGACTAATGGCTGTGGGGTGAGGACAGGCTGGGAAGGAGAGTGGGATTGAGACAGGGTAGTGCGGGTTAGGCATAGATAGGTAAAATTCTTGTAGGCAAGTTTTAGGAAGTGTCCAGATATCCTGTCAGCCTTGACGGCCCTGCGGGCAGGAATGTGAATTGAATGCGGACTGCCAGTCTACCCCACCCCCTCAGCTCACCAAAGGAAAACTCCATTAAGGTGGTTCCTGGACTGGGAATTAAAAAGTCACAGAAATGGGAAGACCACCCCTCCACCCATCAGAGGTGGAGAGATGTTACCTGGGCTTCACCCTATTTAGCACATCAGTCATTGTGAAGATAGATCAGGCCTTCTGTAAAAGGCAAGGTTTTTCTTTTTCCAGAAACTCACCCATGGCAGATCTTTCTTCCATGAATCTTTCTTTTTCCTTCTGTTTCTCTCTTTTCTTTAAAAGCAAGATTTATTGAGAGAACAGAAAAGCTCCCACAATGGGAGGGTACCCGAGGGGGTTGCTCTCCTTTTTCTCTAATAAACTTTGTTGTAAAACTTTGCTGGCAACTCTAAAACTCATTTTAGGAGTCAAAGAATCTATAAGTTTTGCACTCCACCCCACCCCACTCGACATCAGGATGACCCGGCCTGAGGATATCTCAAGACCTTTTATCCAAGAAAGAAGATGATCCTGGGGGAGCAGAGGGTCCCAGTGTGACCTCCTCTTGACCTCCATACTGTCTGCCAAGCTTAGGAACCTGATAGCCCTGGCAGACTCAGTCCCTGCTGATTAACTGGCTTGCTGCCTGCTCCCTGCCAGCCTGCTCCAGGAAGTGCGGGCTGTGATCTCTTGGAAGGAGATGCAACGTCTAGGAAAACTGAAGGAAGATGTGAAGTAGAATTTTAACCAGGAACTGGAAACTCCTTGAGTTTAGGCAAATATCCTCTCTCTCTCCTCACATATTAAAGAGGGTGAGGAGGAAGCTCCAGAAATCCTACCGTAGCATAATCATTAGCTTTTGGATAATCTGTCTGATCGGTCTGGAATGATCTCGAAAGAATGAAATTAACCCAAACTGGGGGACTAAGATAGTGGGCTTGAGAATGGAGTGTGAAGTGGGAAGTTGTTGAGTGATCACAGACTCATCAAAGGGAAGGTTTTGTGTCCTTTGCATAGCTACAACAATGAGTTTTATTAGTGAAATAGAAGACATGCTTGATTTTTCCTGGTTCTTTAACAGAGTAAACCATACCAAGATGCAAATCAAACTCACAGAGCATTGGAAGGTCTACAGCTGCAAAGTAGCTCTGAAAGTCAAAGAAATCCCAGAGTCAGAATGGTCCCCTTCTTTCCCAGAAGGCTGTTGGATTAAAACGTCAAAGATTTAAACTCTAGGCCTGGATCTATGCCTTACCAAGTCTGAAACCTTTGGGAACCCAAGTAACTCAGCCTCTCTGGGCCCTTCTTTTCTTCTCATTTACAAAATGTACTACTACAGTATTCATGACCTGCCTGCCTCACAGGGATGTCATGAAGATCTAGTGAAATCATATAGGTAGGTGTACCTATGAACTGTTAAGCGCTATGCAAATGTAAAGGGAAGCTCCCAGCTACTCTATTTATTCAAAAGTAATTTTTCATCTTAGAATGCAAACAGACAAACAAACAAAAACCCACCACAGAGAAGAGACTGCCAGTACTAGCCAGATACTCCTCAGTTGCCCTATAATTCCCCAGTTCATCTGCAGTTAGAGAGAAGCCATGTTTTGGCCAACCCATGTGAAAAGAAGTGATGTGTGTCCCTTCTAGGAGACGTAGTCAGGCAGCAAACACCTCCTTCATCCCCCTCTTCTTCCCTTGCTCTGGAGACCCTGGAAAGCTGCATTTTCCATATGGCATAGTTATATGATGAAGGAGGACTGTTAAGCTTATGCTCTATGTGAGTAGAAATAAACATTTAGTGTGTGTAACCACTGAGATTTTGAGGGTTGGGCTGTTGTAGCTATGCTTTGTCAAAATCCTAAGTCAGAACAGAAGTTCTGGTCAGTAAGAGACAGTCCACATCCATTTCAGGGAATCACAGAAGCTTACATCAACCTATTTGCTCAGGAATTTGCTGCTAAGTCAAAGGTTCGATCCATTCTGCTCAAAGTTTTTATTTTGACTGGAAATCTACTCTCCTAGTGGGGAGGGGACAAATTCTTCCAGACAAAAAATTTCCTTTTGCTACAAAACGCATTTATTTCCAGCCAGGCAACATTCTTAAACGGCATATTCGGGTACATATTATAAGGTCCACCTATGATACATGACCTGTTTCCAAGATTCATTTCTAATTATTAAAGTATATAGCAAACAAACATCTTTGCCTCTTAAAACATAATTTAAATAACCTGCTAATGTATATAAGCCATAAATCTGGCCACTGGTGCGAGTGGCCTGTAATTCTTCACTGATGAGCCCAGAGTGATATCAACATGATCAAATCCCTTGGGTCAGCAGGCAGCAAGCACCTGAGCTCACCTGCTGACTGTGCTGTTGTGGCAGTGACCCTCCTGTGAAAAAAGAGTTATGTGCAGACAAAAGTGTGACATATGCAATGCAGAGAGGCATTTCACAGAATGCAAACACCGGTCAGGTAAATTAGTAGAGGCCTGCACGAACGAAAGCTTCATGAATGCAAATCTGTTGTTTACGATGCTGGGGACAATGGCACCTGTACTGGACACGCAATAAATATCTATTAAAGAAAGGAAGGATAAGAGAGTAAACTGTAGCAGTCGTCCTGGTGCACAACATCTGTTTACAAGATTAGGCTTTAGGTTGTAAGTTTTAGGGATACCGTTTTTTGTCTCTTCAGAGTACACCATTCTATTTGGAAAGCCACTCATTTCATTTAAAAGACCTTTAAATTCTTCATCAGCATTCAGAGACTTCTTGCCAAATGCCAGTATTAGGGGTTCACTGGCTTGAAGAAGAGCACAACAACGTCCATAGAAAAGTCTTGATTTGTCTCTTGAAGTAAAAAGCCTGTTTGGCTCAGAAGTGTAGGATCTAGTTTATTTTTCACACCTCCTCTTTTTTGGACTTCTGTTAATATTCCAAGCCTGACACAGCCATAGAATCTCATAGAATGCAGTATACTTCTTCATAAAATCTCATTTTGGTATTAACTATTTCCAGTGGGCTCCCCCGAACTTGAAATAGTTGATCTCTTGAAGTCCCATCCTTCACGGAGTTCTCCACTTGCTCCGTGAAGGGAAGGTTCTTGTTCTAAGGCTGGTGCTGGGGAGTTCTCACAGGGGAACATCCTGGAAAATCTCAATCCCCTCTTGATTCTCATACCACCTCTCTCATATCCCATAGGGCTATGGTTGCAATTCTGGAGACACATAGGAAAAGTTTCTAAACTCATCCTGGTTAATCATAGGAAGGTGTCCCTCATCAATGGGAGTTAAAACTGGCTCTTCCTTTATGAAGTCGGGGTCAAAATTGCTGACATCTTCTCGAGATTTCTGCCCAAAAAAAAGGAAACAAGGGTCATATTTTATGCACTTGGGGCTGACTCATATTGCATGGGACTTAGCCCATTCCAATGAGTTCAGAGAACTGCTCTGTAGCTCGTTCAGTAGCATTATTTACAGTTATGGTCATAATGATTAAACAGTACCCTATAGCGATTCCATTGTATTGTGTATTCTTATGGCATTTGGCAACCACCAATTTGCTAATTCCATAAACATCTCGCTGAACAGGCCAATTGTACTGGGAGGTTAAGGAATCAATTTGGTCACCCAAACCAGCCAGCTCACTCACCCTTTCATCTCATTTCACCAACAGGTCTCACCAAGGGATGCACAGCTCATATTTGTCAACAGGGACTGAGTAAGGTCACACTTGTCCCACCTAGCTCTTGTACACGATTCTACATGCTTAAAGAGATGTTCCTGAAAGACTTCTTGCAAGTGCTGAGCTTAAGGGACACATTTTACGCTCTAGTCAGATGCACTCTGCCCTGTCGGACAGGGCTGTGTACACGACTACAGGCTCCAGTCTCTGGAGGCAATGCGTCCCCTAATCCCAGGGGCGCAGGGATTCCCTGAAGAAAATGGCTTTACCCCTGGGTGCCTGGTGTCTAACAGCTTAGCAGGCTGTTACCAATTAAGCTCGCTGTATGTCTGGAAAAAACTGTTTGTTTTACATCTATATAAATGAGTGACAGAAAGATAATTTCCTCCAGTGTTAGCTCACTTTTCTCACCTGACTCAATGTTGTCTTTCTCTCAGCCTTTGTTCCACCTGTCACTCTTCATCTGTTAACAGCCTGGTTTCTCTGCCTTCCTACTGTGGAGCTCTCGACCCACAGATAAGCAAAGAACTCAGCTCTCAGACCATGAACTGGACCTCCCTCGGGAAGGCCACCCCACCCGGCTGCACAGCTTGGAGAGGAGGCCTTGGTGCTCCCAGTACTTCTCCAGTCAAAAGGAACCTGGCCTGTTCTGGTCTGTGCTCTATGTCGTAGCTATACAGATCTTGGCTCTCCAATTCAAGGGGCTAGGGAAAGGGAAGTAAGTAACATCTCACACCCTCTCTGCTTTTCTTGGGGGAACAAAAGATGCCTTGACTAAGGAGCATTAGGAAGTTGGCTAGGAACAATAACTTTCTCAATCAGCTGAACTCTTTTGGGGGAAACTTGGAAAGTTTCAGGCTTCTCAGACCCTATGAGATTTTAATATGGGTTAAAGGAGGATGGGTGCAAGCCAGGGGTGAAAACTTTGTAAGAAGTGACCTGGGCACATGGAGAGGTGTTGTCTCAGGGGCAAGAAGCCCAGAATCCCCCCACGTGAAGTTGCCCTGGGCAGGGTTAGGTTGAACTTCCGGTTGGTCATACCACAGGGGCCATCCGGCTACCCAGTGGACTTCGGTGGAACACTGTGACATCTAAAGAAAGAGGCAAGTCTACTGTGATGGCCTTGGACACTTACGATTCTGGGTCTGAAAGGTGGTTCTAGTTGGCGATGGTTCAGCTGGGCCCAGTCGATTTCCTTAAAGAAAGGATGTCTCAAGATGGCATGCTCACCTCCCTGAGTCAGGCTGCCCAAGCGCATAGTAGGGTTCTTGGTCATGAACTGAGAGAGATAGAGGGAGAGGGAGAGAGTCAATCACGCATTCAGATACAACAGGCATGGTGCAAGATGGTAGGCATCAGCTCTGGCGGAGAAAATGTGTGAGGCTTTCTGGCAGATCTTGCTTAACAAGCCAGGTTTTCCACCACAGGCAGCACAGTCAGGATGAATCATGCTTCACAGGCACGACTGCTGGTGTGGATTTATGGCTTTGCCCACTTCCATTTCAGAGATGGCCACTAAAAGGAGCAGGAGAGTCCAGTTTTTCTTTTCTGTAAACACCATGTATTTTTCTTTCCTCTTTAAAGAAAAGAAGCTCTTTATAAAACAGGGTGCCTTTCTCCAACACTGCATTTGTGGGCAGCAGGCATCCCATGAATGGGGTTACTTTCAGAAACAGCTGTGCCATTTTTCGGAGAGCCCTGACCAGCTGGCCAGGATTCCCACTCTCTGACGAGATCACAGGGAGAAGAAGAAGAGTCGTTATTTTTGAAGATTTGTGTGAAGAAGCAGCAAGAGTGAAAAACTGAGTTCTGTGTTCTAGCTCGAGAACACATTTAAGTATGTGTGCATATAAGTTCTCTGTATTGGTATCCATTGGAAAACCACCTTGTGCTGAGCTCCGATCAAAATGTATTGGGCTAAGTCTGCTTTCACAAAATGGCCAGTTGAGGTGTTTTGATCACTTCCTGACCAAGGACGAGCACAGGATCCTTCACTTTTCCTGGCCAGAATGTGGTTCCTAATTTCAAAGACACGTGTAAGATAATTTCTCATTTCAAAAGACAATTGCCTTGGATTAAAAGTTTTGTTTTTGCTTAAATCAAGTTATCTTTCAACAGAATTATGATGTCCATGCCCCAGCATCCATGTTTGATTTGTGAACACAAGAAAAAAAAAGTGCTGTGCTTATAGAAATTGCCCTGGAGCTGAATTAACAGCACAAATAAAAAAACAAGTCTTGTTGAAGGTGCAGACATGGAGAAGTATGTTTGCAGGTGGCCACCCCTGCCATGCCAGATGTCCAAAGCTGTAAAGCTGCCTGTGTTGATTCAAATGAAAATGATAAGGTTGAAGAAGGAGGCTGCAAGTGTTCCTAAGTAATCTGACAGGATGTACCTTGTAAA